AAATTCGCATAATATTTCAAGTTTATTTTAAAAGCAAGATTCCAATTAATAATTACCATTAAGTTGAGATGTCACTGGCATACTCTAAACACAACTTCAGTAAAAACCAATCGAAAGGAATTTGATGGAATTTTTATTCTCAACATTGCCAACCCAAATCTCCACTCAAGCAGGTAGCTAAAAACGTGGCCATACGTTTTCTAAGTGAGAAAGACACATGGCTCTGGGCGCATAAATCAAACCGACCAATAAATATTTGCGGCCAAGATTCTCCGCAGCCACAGAGCCGTAAACGCGTAATTAACCCCATTCTCCGCCCCAAGGAGCGGAGAAATATGGCGCAAGAGTTAATGCACATTAAAGCTCATATATCAACCCCTACACAGATCGGTAAAACAGGGGGGTTGTGGCCACAATAGGCGGCCTTTGAAGACGCCACTCCACTCCACTGTGCGGCACTCCGGCGAAGCTAAGCGGCCGCCGAGCACAATGCAGCAAAAGTATCTTTAAGATGCACTTGAGCGGTCGTCGGCATCCCGCTCGTTACTCACAATATATTCCGCTGCCGCCACCACCGATGGGTATATAAATACGTACGTATTTTATAAAATATCGCATGGCATATAAAAATGCCTGGCATTGTTTCAGCATCGACGTGTGGGCGCATTACTGAGCCCGCATATCAAATGAGTCCTGAGCCCGAGACACACACACAAAACAACAACGAAGGCATCGGCAATAGCAAATCACACTATCGAACAAGAATTTTGTAGATTCAGGAATGCCAAGCGGACAGGCAAATGATTGCATCGCCCAAGATTATTACTGATACGTAAGATAAAATCTATGTTTGCCTAAAATAAATTAGTGAAGAATGTCTCCTTGAAGGGAAATATGAAATGAAAGGGAGAAGGGAAATAAAGTAAATTCAAAAATGGAATGTATAATATGTGAATAAATAAAAGTTGATTGGTACAGTAAGCACTTGGTGAATAAATAAACAAAACCTTCACTTTTCAGACACAAAATTATTGAATACCATTTTTTTATTGGGAAATTTTCAAGGGAAATATTATTTAAATAAATATTTAATCTCAAATAATTCGCTTGAATTTTTTAAATTCCTTTAACAGGGAGCTTCCTGTTCACGGAAGACCTCACTACATTTCGTTAAATTAAGTCCGACACAGAAGAAAATTACTGAGCAGGTATTCCAGATATGTGCAGAGTCGGAAAAATGCAATTTGTTGCCCAGTTTAACCGACGTGGAGGCGGCAATAATGTAATGCAAGTGCGCCTGACAGCTGCCAGCCGGATGACTCCTCCACGGAGGAGTTGCAGCATCCAATGGCTGTCACACGCACTTTCCACTCGACCATATAGTTGGATATAGCCAAGCATATACCCATAATCCCCACACATATCTCCATTGATGGAGGCTCCGAGCCTCAGTTCATTCATTTAAGCTGCTGCCGCAATGATATTCATAACTGGCGGGTCGGCGGGGGACCACTACTGCGCTACGGCAATTTTCTATTTCACCAAAAGATTATGAAAATTTTGGCCTAAAAATCGGAGCTGCATTCGGATTTGGATTCGCAACAGCAGCAGCATAGCGGCGGCGCAGCAAAATGGAAAATAACTGAAATCACAAAACAAACTCGGTGCGCAAACATAAATTATGCATTACAAACGTGCTTCTGACCCATTGCCATTTTCTAATTCAATTAAAATGGTTTTTGTTTCTCCCGGTTGCTGCTGCCAGCCTGCCGGCCTGCCTGCCAGGCCCCGGCATTTGAATACGATTTCCCAAGGAGCCGAGGAGCGGAAAAGTTTTTGGGAAAACGCCGCTGGGAAAGTTGGAGCAGCGCATCCAGGCAGCCAGACACTAATTTGACATAGTTATGCGAGTCGAAATGAAAGCTGCAATGAGGATTTTGGCCGTGGCCAACGCGCCGTATGAATAATATTTAAGCTGGCCTCGCTCTCAGCCGTCTGCGGTTGTTGTTTCCCTGCCACAAACACTGCAACTGCCACTGCGCTGCAGCAAACAAACATTAGGCCACTTTTATGGAAGCCTTCTTTCTGCCAAAGACAATTTCGGTCGGGCAGGTACGCGAAATTCCTGTAAAGTCGGAGAGACAGGTCAGCCATCAATAAACATAAACTCATTTAGCAAGCCAACGTAATGAGAAGAGTCAACAGTTTGTTTTTGGCATTACTATTATTTTCGCCACACTTGGCAATTACTTAGTTAGTTATGTCGGCCACATTCTGGCCAAAGACATGAAAAGGGTCGACGACACTCATATGACACAGTCAGCTACAAAGTTGCCGGCACATGTCGAGTTAATGAAATTTAAAAATTCATAAAATATTCGCACCACTAGGCAGGCGGCACTAAGAACTGCTGAAGCAACGGCCACACAGAGAGAGAGAGAAAGAGAGCGGCAGCAAGTGTAACTCAATTAATTAATAACAATATACCAACAGAGGCAGCCGTAGCAGCCAGCACCGGCAGCAGCATTAACAAGAACAACAAACAAAATAATTAAGTAACAAAAGTTTCATATTTGCAGCGCCGCAAAAACAAGAAGTGGAACGGGGACAAAAACGCAGCAACAGGAGCCACAGGAGCAACACGACTGAAACGTACAAACAGGAGCAGCAGCATCGGAGTGGCAAAGCCGGGCAAAGTTTGCTGTTTTTTGGGGAAGCGAGGGGCGGCAGTAAGTTGTTGTTTCTCTTGGCGGAAAGTTTTTTAATGTAATTTTAAGTGGCATAAGTCGGCAGCCGAAAAAGCCAGTCGCTCGGTCGGTTAGTCGGTCGGTCGTCAGGTGATGGGGATAGACCGGCGAAATTAGAGCAGCGAACCCAAGTGACACCGAATGGCAGTGCTCCCTCTCCCCATTATTGGACAGTTCCTCTGGGAGCTGAGACCTGGCATATAATAGTGGCATTCAAACTGTAGCTACTGCTGCTGCAACATGCAACACTCATATGCGCCGATATTTATGGCCAGGCGGTGCAGTAGCAGCGAGTAAATAAACCTGAAAATTATGATGAAGCCCGTCGATGGCCATAAAGACCAGCAACAAGTTTCGCCGAACTCGAACTCCAAGTCGAAGCTCTGTGAGTGCCAAATGTGCATGTAAGAAATAATTTTGCCACTTAAAACCGAGGCGACATAAAAAGGCGAAACAAGCAAACAACCCATAACGGCATTTTCAATTCTCAAAAAATCAACCAATTCCGCCGGACCACCCCGAAAACATGGGAAAAACTAATGGAAAAACGGGCGCTGCATATCGAACTCCCACTCGGAGTCAACAAGAAATGCTGGCAGTCAAATATTGCTAAAATATATTTAGCATACGACAATAGACTGGCTATTTTATGGCAACGAAACACTCCAGAGAACCGCACTTAGCGCTGGCGTGTTCCGGCCAAATAGAAAAAGTGGGAAAGTGGCCGAGGCCCCCACTAACAGAGCTTGCAACAGCAGCACCAGCAGCAGCAGCAACATCAGCAGCTGTTAAGAGCTCAGTGGCATGCAACACGCTGAAGGCGAGGCAGCAAAACATACACTATCCTATCCCCACATTATACGAGTCGGGGTACATGTGCAACACACATCGCCCTGCAACACGAACAGAGACTCTTCCTCGGAGAGCTTCCACTCGTGGCTAAAAGGGGCTTTGGGGCAGGGGAGCCAAATGTTGCCAGCCAGCAGCAGCCTGTTGCCTGTTTGCCGGTTCTATGTTAGTTAACCCTACGCTGGATATTTGTCCTTAAGAGAAGGGAATATTAATACTAAGTAGTCTCTGAAAATAGTAAGAAACTATGTTTCCCCATTTGAATATTAATCAATGAATATTTAAAAAATATTTCATTTGAAAAGAATAATTATATTACTTAAAATAAATAAAATAAAGTTTACCAGACATTTTTAGTCAACGTTTTATTATAGTTTTCATTAGTCATTTTTTTTCAGTAAATTTAAAACAATGTTTGCTGAGACCTAATAAAAACTAACTGCCATAAATAGCTATAGTTATTAGCGTTAATTACAAACTGCTGTGATTTAGCACAGTCGCAAGTGAGTTATCTCAGATTAGCGAGTATTTGAGACAAGCTAATGGAGCCGATTAGCGAATTCAGCAATAATAGCCACTTGTGGCGCTGCTAATAAGACGCCGGCATCGTAGCTGATTAAATTTATTCGCTCGGATGCTGGCTGATAAGTAATAACCCCGAGAATGAACCCAGAATGGTTTCAAATCCAGAGAGAGCCCTGGCCCCGCGTAGGGTTAAGGCTGGCGTTGTGTTGCCGGCTCTCCTCATGTGTGTGTGCAACATTTCCCCTACTTTCGGCGAGAGCGAGAGAGCCTAGTTTCCACCGCTCTCTCTCTCGTGTGTGTGCGAACACATGGAGGCAGGAAATGCAATGCCCGCCATGCTGGCAGCAACAGAGAGAGCGGCAGCGCAGCAGCGTCGCCATGCATGTGAGCGCGCGAGAGTGCATTCACATGCACGCTGCTGTCTGTCTGCTGCCGCTGCGCTCTGTTCGCTGCCTGCTGTGTGTTCTACGTGTCGGTGTGTGCGTCCGTGTGCCGCTGCCGGCGTCGCGCTGCGTCGTCGTGGCGGCGTCGTCGTGGCTTCACATTTTCAACGAGCCAACGGAGTCGCCTTCACCAACTCCAGCAATCAGATTCATTTGAAGCGCGAGGCGGTAAACATGTTTTGAGGAAACGAGCTCCCGAAACGAAAACGAACAAGTCGAATCGCTGCGCCAGTCGAAGTCGAAGTCGAACGAAATCGTGCAAGTGTTTGTTGAAACCAAACGAAATCAGAGAAATAAAATAAGAATAAGAATCGCTTTAAGTAGAAACGCAACGCAAAGCAACAGTGAAAATCGCTAAGTGTCGCTGCTCGCCGCCAAACACAGGATTACGGTACATTGTGAATAAAGCAGTATAGCGATCGAAAAGCGAAAAATGAAAACCAGAAAGTGACCAACTCGTAATCCAATCCGCACAGCCCCAAAGCCAAAAGATAACTAGAGTAATTAACACAACTACACAAGAGTAGCCATCAAGATGGAGCTCCTGTCCAGCGCCGCCCGCCTGTTGCTCCTGCTCGCCTGCCTCGTCGTGATTGCGCATGCGCAGCAGTGCACTTGGGAGTACGGCTCCAGCACCATGGACATCCGCTGCAGTGTGCGCGCCCTGGAGGCGACTGGCACGCCTCTGGACCTCCAGCTGGCCGAGTCCGCCAGCCACTTGGAGCTGCAGTGCAGCGAGGATCTGCTGCACGGCAGTGAGCTGGCCCCCGGCATGTTCCGGCACCTCCAGAAACTGGCGGAGCTGCGCATCGAGGCCTGCAAGCTGCAGCGCATCCCGGCCAGCGCCTTCGAGGGCATGATGTCGCTCAAGCGGCTGCAACTGGAGACGCACAACGCAGTGTGGGGGCCGGTGAAGAGTCTGGAGCTGCACTCGCAGTCGTTCCAGGGCCTCAAGGAGCTCACCGAGCTGCATCTGGGCGACAACAACATCCGCCAACTGCCCGAGGGCGTTTGGTGCGCGATGCCTAGCCTCCAGTTGCTCAATCTCACCCAGAACCGGATCCGTTCCGCCGAGTACCTTGGCTTCTCCGAGAAGCTGTGCGCGGGCTCTGCCCTGAGCAATGCCAACGGAGCCGCCAGCGGGGGCTCCGAGCTGCAGACGCTGGATGTGTCTTTCAACGAGCTGCGATCCCTGCCCGACGCCTGGGGAGCATCCCGGCTGCGGCGCCTCCAGACCCTGAGCCTGCAGCACAACAACATCACCACCTTGGCGCCCAACGCCCTGGCTGGACTGAGTTCCCTGCGCGTTCTGAACATCTCCTACAACCACTTGGAGTCGCTGCCATCGGAGGCATTCGCCGGAAACAAGGAGCTGCGAGAGCTTCACCTGCAAGGCAACGATCTGTACGATCTGCCCAAGGGATTGCTCCATCGCCTGGAGCAGCTGCTCGTGCTGGACCTGAGTGGCAACCAGCTGACCAGCCATCACGTGGACAACAGCACCTTCGCCGGCCTGATCCGCCTGATCGTGCTGAATCTGTCCAACAACGCGCTCACCCGCATCGGGGCCAAGACATTCAAGGAGCTGTACTTCCTGCAGATCCTCGATATGCGCAACAACTCCATCGGCCATATCGAAGACGGAGCCTTCCTGCCACTGTACAACCTGCACACCCTCAACCTGGCCGAAAACCGACTCCACACGCTGGACAACCGCATCTTCAACGGCCTGTACGTGCTGACGAAGCTCACGCTGAACAACAACCTCGTGAGCATCGTGGAGATGCAGGCCTTCCGCAACTGCTCCGATCTGAAGGAGCTGGATCTCAGCTCCAATCAGCTGACCGAAGTGCCGGTGGCCGTGCAAGATCTGAGCATGCTGAAGACGCTAGATCTGGGCGAGAATCTGATCACCGACTTCCCCAACAACACGTTCCGCAACCTCAACCAGCTGACGGGACTGCGGCTGATCGACAACCGCATTGGTAACATCACCAAGGGCATGTTCCAGGATCTGCCACGCCTGAGTGTGCTCAACCTGGCCAAGAACCGCATCCAGAGCATCGAGCGCGGTGCCTTCGACAAGAACAGCGAGATCGAGGCGATCCGTCTGGACAAGAATTTCCTCACCGACATCAACGGAATCTTCGCCACGCTGGCTTCCCTGCTGTGGCTGAATCTGTCCGAGAATCACCTGGTTTGGTTTGACTACGCCTTCATCCCCTCGAACCTTAAGTGGCTGGACATCCACGGCAACTACATCGAGGCCCTGGGTAACTACTACAAGCTGCAGGAGGAGATCCGGGTGACGACGCTGGATGCCTCGCACAACCGCATCACCGAGATCGGAGCCATGTCGGTGCCCAACTCGATCGAGCTGCTGTTTATCAACAACAATATCATCGGCCAGATCCAAGCCAACACCTTTGTGGACAAGACTCGCCTGGCCCGCGTTGATCTCTACGCGAACGTGCTCTCCAAGATCTCCTTGAACGCGCTCCGCGTTGCGCCCGTCTCGGCGGAGAAGCCGGTGCCGGAATTCTACCTTGGCGGCAACCCCTTCGAGTGCGACTGCTCCATGGAGTGGCTGCAGAGGATCAACAACCTGACCACGCGCCAGCACCCCCACGTGGTGGACCTGGGCAACATCGAGTGCCTGATGCCGCACAGCCGGAGCGCTCCTTTGAGGCCCCTGGCATCCCTGTCCTCCTCCGACTTTGTGTGCAAGTACGAGAGCCACTGCCCGCCGACCTGCCACTGCTGCGAGTACGAGCAGTGCGAGTGCGAGGTGATCTGCCCCGGAAACTGCAGCTGCTTCCACGACGCCACCTGGGCCACCAACATTGTTGACTGCGGCCGCCAGGATCTGGCCTCGCTTCCCTCCCGCATCCCCCTGGACGTGAGCGACCTCTACTTGGACGGCAACAATATGCCCGAGCTGGAGGTGGGTCACCTGGTGGGTCGTCGCAATCTGCGCGCCCTCTACCTGAACGCCTCCAACCTGATGACCCTGCAGAACGGAAGCCTGGCCCAGCTGGTCAATCTTCGCGTGCTCCACCTGGAGAACAACAAGCTGACCACCCTAGAGGGCACCGAGTTCCGCTCACTGGGCCTGCTGCGGGAGTTGTACCTGCACAACAACATGCTCACCCACATTTCCAATGCCACCTTCGAGCCCCTGGTCTCCCTGGAGGTGCTCCGCCTGGACAACAACCGTCTGAGTTCGCTGCCCAACCTGCAGTACCGCCACAGCCTCCAGGGTCTGACTCTGGGCAGGAATGCCTGGTCTTGCCGCTGTCAGCAGCTGCGTGAGCTGGCCCAGTTCGTCTCCGACAACGCCATGGTGGTGCGCGATGCCCAGGATATCTACTGCCTGGACGCCGGCATCAAGCGGGAGCTGGAGCTGATCGGCAACCTGGCCAACGGACCCGATTGCTCGGAGCTGCTCGATGCCAGTGCCAGCAATATCAGCTCTTCCCAGGATTTGGCTGGCGGCTATAGGCTGCCCCTGTTGGCCGCTGTGCTGGTCCTGATCTTCCTGGTGGTCGTCCTCATCATCGTCTTCGTGTTCCGCGAGAGCGTGCGCATGTGGCTCTTCGCCCACTACGGAGTCCGGGTCTGCGAGCCCCGCTTCGAGGATGCCGGCAAGCTGTACGACGCCATCATCCTGCATTCGGAGAAGGACTACGAGTTCGTGTGCCGCAACATTGCCGCCGAACTGGAGCACGGTCGTCCCCCGTTCCGCCTTTGCATCCAGCAGCGCGATCTGCCGCCTCAGGCCTCGCATCTGCAGCTGGTTGAGGGTGCCCGCGCCTCCAGGAAGATCATCCTGGTGCTTACCCGCAACCTGCTGGCCACCGAGTGGAACCGTGTGGAGTTCCGCAATGCCTTCCACGAGTCGCTGCGCGGCCTGGCCCAGAAGCTGGTGATCATCGAGGAGACAAGCGTGTCCGCCGAGGCAGAGGACGTGGCAGAGCTGTCGCCATACCTCAAGTCGGTGCCCTCCAATCGCCTGCTCACCTGCGATCGCTACTTCTGGGAGAAGCTCCGCTACGCCATCCCCATTGAGCTGTCGCCCCGAGGCAACAACTACACCCTGGATCACCACGAGCGCTTCAAGCAGCCCGTCTCGCCGGGTATGATCTTCCGCCAGGCTCCCCCGCCGCCAGCCTACTACTGCACCGAGGACATGGAGGCCAACTACAGCTCAGCGACCACTGCCACCCCCTCGCCGCGACCCACGCGTCCCGGTGGTGCCGCCCGCATTGTGGATTCCATGCCCATGCCCATGCGCCCGCCCTCGGAGCACATTTACCACAGCATCGAGTCGGAGTACAGTGCGTACGATCAGCACGAGGCGCTCTCCATGATTCCCACGGGCATGATGCACCATCAGCAGCAGCAACAGTTGCGTCTCCATCAACAGCAACAGCAGCAGCAGCACCAACAGCAGCGTCTGCTCCAGCCGCAGTTCCGGGCGATGCCCCAGCAGGCCATCCCCATGCCGGTGGTGACCTCTGCTCCGGTTCATCTGAGGAGCGGAAGCGGCCTGAGCCAGGCCAGCACCAGTACGCAGTCGACGGCTCAGGCCTCCACCTCGGCCGCCGCAGCCCAGCAGCAGCAGCAGCAGGCAGCTGGTGGCGAGTCAGCCAATAAGAACGGCCAGGCCTTCCTGGTGTAAGCTCCGCCTCGAACAGGATCTAGTGCGCAGGAGCGGCCATCTTGAAGCTGGTCGCTTGCTGGCGCACAGGGATAAGGAACTGAGCGAAAACAGGACTCGCACACGCACACAACGTACACACCGCGCACATCCAAAACAAAAAGACTTTTCGTAGGCATTTCTTTGAGGACAGCAGCCACAGCGCCCAGCAGATATTTATATATAGTATATGATGTTTTTTTTTTCGGTGCATTTTGCCTTTGGTGTTCACGTGTTGCCCATGTCGTTGATGTTGATGTTAGCACACACTCGGGGGCGGAGACACGCCCGCACATTCGTATAGGAGCATATAGGACTACATTATTACAATCTAATTACCGTAAACGTAAACAAACAATTACTAGAAATGTTGCAAAAACACTTTCAAATTCAATGTGATATATTAATTAACTATAATTAATGTGTAATGCATAGGCCTATGTAGTAGTTCTAGCCAGGCGTACAGAACGTAAACCTAAAACTAAACTAAACTATTGTTAACTAAGCCCTAAATTAACCTAATGATAGCACACACATTCGTTCGCATTCATCATCCTAAGCTACACGAAACAATAACTAATTGGAAGTATGATAAACCTATGGTAAATGTATATAGAAAAATCGCAGCAGCATTTAGAGCACTTAATGTATTTATGTATCGTACTGTATAGAGAGGATGGAACTAAATTAATTGAATTAAATTTACTTAATGACAAATGTATTATTAAATTAATTATTACAATTACATAAAACCAGCCAGAGGAATATATCCGAGGAAATAAAATGCAAAAACATTACAAAATATTAAGAAACATTAAAAAATCCATCTTCTTAATCAACCTGGGATGGGTACAGAGTGGGTTCCACCTTCTTTCAGGACTTTTTATTGCAGGTACTAGGAAAAGGGGAATGAATTAATTAAAGCACAGCTCTCGGGATGACTTTACAAAGGATCCCTGCTGGGTGACACATGCAACTGACATCGTTACCATGGACGCTGCACAAAGGAAAGTCCAATTTATTTGGTTTCATTTTGCATTTTGCATTGCATTGCGCTGGTGTTTGCAAAAAACACAAAGGTTACAATGGAAAACGTTAACTAAAAATAACTAAACAAAGGGCCAGGCGCACAGTTAATTGCTTGTAAATAATTATATATAAATAAATTAATGGAAAACGCACTCAAACAAACACTTTGCATATGCCGCAACCCTCTCTCACACACTTGTTTATGTAAATTATTATTTGCGAAATTATAAAACAAAATTAAACTGCGGCCCAATGCGAAAATTGTATTTCACGCATTTGCTTAACTCGCCATTTGCAAATGCATAATTTTCGTGCCATTTCCCCCCCGCCATTTTCATGCATCGCCAGACCGCAACTCTATCATCAGCTAATATCCAAAAAGAAAAACAACAAAAAAAAATGTGTAAAATAAATAAAACAAAAAGGGAAGGAAACAAAGCCCATAAAATTTATTTAATTTAGACGCATGGCCGAACAACTATATAAACGAATTAATATTACAAACGTTTCAATTTTGCTAATTAGCTTCGATCGGCCATTAAACTTTGGCCAGAGTTAAATCCATTTTCGCTTAGTTGCTGGGAAACAAAATGTATACATATATTGGTCAAGTCGATTATCAATGGTAATCTATAAATCAGCCGCCATATTAATGGTTGTGGAAATAAATCAAGAACCTGACCTGGTTAGGTATGCTATAGAAATACGCTTGGCTAGGGCTATTAACCTTAAATCGAAACTTAAGAACTAGCTTGGATAATTTGGTACTTTCATGTTAAACTTTAACATTGAAATTGCTTCTCAACCGCCTCGGATATCCGTTTGAAATTAATCCTTGCCATGTGCGGCCATTAAACTTTAACGGAACCGAAAGCCAGCTTGGATATGTTGGTGGCAATGGCAAGCGCCTGTCTTATTTATGGCCAACGTATTGGCATGTGTCTATTTCTGGTCTAGCCCTGACACTTTTTTGGCAAAGTCAGAGTCAGAACTGGAGTCGGAGTGGAAGCCGGAGCCGCAGCCAAGACCATAGAGCCGGCTGCTCTTGCCAAAGTCGTGCCGCAATCGCTGGCCAAAATCGATGGATGCGCTGGGCAAAAACAAACACAGCAATTGCATATTTTATGAGTGCAAAACTTTTTGTCATGTAATGCACTCACACACATCCCAGACAGCCACAACACCACACACACACACACACACATAGAGACCATCGATGGCAAATTAAGTATGTCAATTTGCTGGTGGAAAATGCGAAAAGGAAAAAAATAAATAGAAAAATAAAGAAGCACCAAAATCGCAGCTGGAAAAGCCACAGCCAAAGTGAAAAGCAAAACAAACTAATTGAAAATCGATAAGTAGCCAAGCACTCAACGAGAAAAATGCAGGGAAATGAAGGAAAGCCACGGCTAAAGTGGCAAATTTAATGGCAAAATGGAAAGCTCACACACGCAGATACAAAGATACACATTAGCGGGTGGACGCCAGCGGTTGTTGGCTTTAGCCATTGAATATGACATGGCCAACCCTTGACCTTTCAAGTCAAAGCAAAAAAAAAACTGCATGGTACATATAGAGGCTAATCGGCTCAAAGATATGTCAATAGTAATTAAACTGTCATTAATTTGGTAAGGTAAATTAACAGAAACAAGACTATAAATATAAGTTTAATAGAAATTGAAAAATAAACATATTGAAGGGCAAGCGAATTTTAAAGAGCTTTATAATAATAAAGGAATATTTTTGGACAGAATTTCTGAGTTTAGAGAAAAAATGTAGCTTAAAATATAATTCTTAAAAATGTCTTCAAGCTATCTCTTACATTGAAAATTCAAGCCATAAAATATCCACTTAAAGCCTCAAAACGTCCAACGCCATTAAAGCCATCTTCAACGGATCATCCTCAAAAGCTGTCCAAGAGAACAGCTCAATCAACTCCTCTAATTTCCATCATTAATATCTTATAAGACCGCCGTAACTCCTGAAATCGATTTAAAGTTTTCCCGCAGTGCCGCCCACCCAATGTCATTAACTGCCACTCCCGCCGACTTGACCGGCGAATAACGACCAGCGTGTCCAGCGACGAAGTGGAAAAGCAAACGCTTTTGCAAAAATTGAACAATATTAAAAATGCATTTATGCAAATTTAATTGCACGGGTGTGCACTTGCATAAGCCACCAGTGCAGTGCAATGGAGGAGACCCAAAGAAATGGATAAAGGCCATTAAGTTGTCGGGTCGGAGACCAAGAAAATTGATTTGTTTAATAATTAAAACATGCAAAATGCATATGTAAGGCAAATCACTTGCGGCCCATAAAAGGTATTGCCCAGAACCGATATGAAACTGTTAACGTGTTTTGTGTTTTTTTTTTATTAGCTGCCTGTCATAGAGGAATTCGCAATTAATGCCAACTGACAGCGCCCTGGATTAGCATAGGTTTAGCTATACTTAGAGTTGGTTAGAAAAATATACATAAATATTGACAATGGACTTTGTTTTTTGAATTTATTAATAAAATCTAACCATTTACATAGTTTATGGCTTCAGAAAGGTATGAAAGTAAAGTTTTATTGTTAAATATTTAGTTTAGATTGTTTTTAATGTACAGAAATATATATAAAGATAGTCAAGTAATATTATCTCTAGCTTAAATTACCAAGTTGCCATTACTAATTCAAAGTTTAGTCATATATAAGCCAGCTATCACCGTGTAACTGGCTTGTAATGAGACCCAGGGGCAACTCCGACACTATTTACCCTCACACCAAACAAATGTCTATATGGATTACGTATGTATGAATGTACACAAAGTCAATAGAATTTTGCAGGGCTTCCCTCTGGGCACGAAACTAAATTTTGATTTGGCAATCTCTTCAATAAAAACAGGCAGTCCGGGCAAACAGATGGGCTGGCGGCGGTGTTTCTAAAGCGCAAACACAAATATTTATGCTTTATTAAAAACCAAAATTAATACACTAAAACAACAACGATTATGCGTGGCATACATGAAATATCGCTGTAGCTACACAAACAACAACACTCTCACCCCTTCATGTTCGAAGGGGTTGCTTTGGCTTATCGGCATTTTGGCCGGATTCCGCCCACTCCCCCCGCAGGACGACAAAACAAAAAAAAGGGTTTTCATTTCTACCAAATATTTTGCATACCCTTTCCGCCCTCGTCCCGCCCTTTTTCGTTGTTTGTTAATAAAAAATGCAAACAAGGGTGGATTGGTCCGCTGGCAACAAAAACTGGTTCAGTGTGGCAGCCGAAAGTGCGAGGCGGGGGCCCAGGCGATAGGTACGCCAACTATTTGCATACTCGCACACTAAGCGCATAAATAGACAACTGCAAAACAAGTTCGTTCCGTGGGCAGTCGGTCTGCTGCTGGGTAGGTAGGTGGCTCCGGTCAATCTGGCCGCACTTACTCCGCTCCGCTGTCCCTTCTTCTCCAGCGCTGCATTGTGGCCAATGCCAAATTGGGCCGCAATGCTGCACAGTTTAGCCACTGCAACTATTGTCTGCCAAGTCGGGTGTTTATGCATGCGGTCTTTCGCGAATTCGCATATTTAAATATTTCACAGGGAGTACCTACATACATACCTGGGGTCCTTGAGATAACTGAACTCGAAGAGCAGAAAGTCCTTGATATTAAGTCTAGCGAAAGAGCCATTAAAAATCAGGAGTGTGTGCCAAGGGAACCGCTTAAATTAAATAAACTTAATTAAACTTAATTTGTGAAATAACCCTTCAAAGAAACCTCCCCTTTCTTGTCACTTCAATATAAAAGCTCCTTCTTAGTTGCTCTGACATAAAATCAGGTCACAGAACTTCTTAACATCATCTGGTTACTTGTAAAGTGGTTTCCGAACCTCCTTCAAAATAAGTAAACTTTTGTTTTCAATCACTTTGCAACTTGAACACGACTCTCAGGGAGCTGCTACACACCTCTCGAAAAGCACACATTCGCCGCGTTGACACTGATTGCCAAAGTATCTCACAAGGGCCACGCATTTGTATATTCCTGCATTTGCGAGCGAGCATATTTTATCTTAGCCGTGGCAATCTGCGTAAAATTATTTATTCATATTCATAACTTTTTCGCTGCCATTCTTGTGCAATCACATTCGCTGACTGGCTGAGAGAGTGGCTGTTGCCTGGCTGCCTGGATGACGGACTGGCAAGCTGACACTCTGGCAAAGCGACTGCACTAACAGTAAGAGCTGTTGCTTGCCCCACCTTGCACCACTTGTGCCCCGAACCATTGAAGGCTAAGCGAGTGCACTAAGATAAATAGATAGATGTTGGTAAAATATCGCGAAAAAAAAACTAAAATGTAGAGATATAAGAAGATATTACACACCTTTCGAAGTATATATTTCCTATAGTATCCAAGTTAGAATAAGAAAGATTAGACAAACTAGGATTTTATAATTTAAATCTTAAAATTGTTTCGTTCAGTGTACGAGAGAGCGAATCGTGTGCCGCTTTCGCATTTCCCACGGCATCAAAATGTTGCCAATGTGTTTGTTGCTGTCGTTGCCGCTGCCATTGTTGCTGCTCCACAGCCTCACCTCGAATTCTGCAGAACGGCAAAGGTGGGGGGCAGATGGGGCGGGAACAGGTAAGGAGGAAGACTCGGAGGCAGTCTCGCGCACTTCCTTTATTTGCATTACAATGATAAACTCCAAAGTGTGTGCCAGAGAATTTCTTAATTTTTTTCGCCTTGTTTTCGTTTGAACTGTTGTTGCTGCTGCTGCTGTTGCTTCTGTTTCTTTTGATT